AATCATGATTTAGGCAGAGGGCTTTTATCTGAGAGGTAATTAAGGGCGGAATTCTCCCAAGGTTTCCTGTCTTTGGGGAAACTTACAACTACAAAGGATTTACAATTGAAGAGGACTCTACAAACTGCTAATATTTTATAGTTGAAAACAAATTTACAACTGCAAAGGACAGCATTGGGCTGAGACAAGGAGGTTAGCGTGAAATGCATTGAGAAGAGTCTCACAGCATCTTTTCCCTGTCAATAGCCTACCTCAAAGCATTTGATTCCCCAGGATCCAGCAGATGGGAGACAAATGTCAGAGTGACAAGGCAATCACGTGTGTCAGGGCTACAATCTACTGAAGACCAAGGCACCCTGTGGTCCAGATGGAACAGTGTCCTAGGGTTATTGAGGGAGTTTGTGGGAGGATGGGCAAGATGCTCCTGCCCAGCCTGCAACTTGAAAGCTGTGGACAGGGCCTCCTGGGAGTCCCTTTACTATTCAGTGTCAACTGAGGAAGAACCCAGCTGCAGCACCCTGGGAAAGCCTCAGTAAACTGTGTGCCATTGGCAGGAAAGAGTAATGACCCAAGGCTCCCTGAATGGGAGACTTCTCCATCCACATGCAGTTTAAATGACTTTTTCCTCTTTTTCTGGGTATCTTGAAGCTTAGTGTGAATATCTAGGAGTGTTCTTTGAGATCCTTTGATGAAAGGTGCAATAGAAGTGCAAAGTATTGCTATCAACACTGTAAATATTTTAACAACGGGAGATGTTTCAACTTCTAATATTCCTAAGAGAACTATTTGAGGACTAAGAACAGTAAGTATACAAGAGTGAGGATAAAAGAGTATCTCTGTTTAGCTAAGAGACAGCCCAGTGTTGGTGGTGCTGGCCACACACACTGAGGCTCCCCTCCAGCGCCAACTACATGTGTGCAACAACTCATTGGGGCAGATGGAGCAGGCCCAGGCCCAGCTTTCATGCAAGAGGTGAGCTGCCCCTGGGCACACTGCTGTCCTATCAACATACAGGCTCTAGTGACATGCCAGGCTGGCAGCCAGCTGGAGGCCTTCCCTGACAGCGACACAATCTGCCTGTGGTTGACAGGTGCCAGAGTGACACTGGAACAGGCTAGAACGGGAGAAGGCAAGAGAGGGGACTGGCTTGATGCATGTCCAGGCAGAACTTTTGCCACCCAAAGACCTGGCATTTTTATTTGCAAGAACAACCAGCTAGGTTGAATTTAGGCCAGTTTCCTTTTTTGCAGTGCTGGGGCTTAACTCAGGGCCTCCAGCATTGCCAGGCATGCATTGTACCTCTGAGCTACACTGATAGCCTCGAAGAATGACTTCTAAGTCAAGGAGTTATGCACCAAGGTCTGTCTTCTCCACCCCAACCACCCATCCCACACCCTACATTTGGTGTTGCCTTTTACTGTCTCCATTCTCTCTGCTTTCCAATCTGTACTCCAGACTGTGCACATTATACAACTTGAAAATCTTTAGCTGTTTTAAAGTCTCCAGTGGCCCCCTACTGCCTCCAAAACAAAGTCTGAGACAGGAAAAGCCCTTTCCCAGCTGGGCAGCTGCTTCCCCAGCTCCTCTCTGCCAAGCCCCTTCTGGTCCAATCCATGCTGGATCACTCTGTGCCCCAAATACATTGTGGCTTTCATGCCTTGCTGTTATTATTAGCCTCTGCTAGTCCCTCTGCCGACAGTGGCCGGTGCGTATCTCTTTCTCCATCTGGCACATAACTGTCTTCCAAAGTCCAGTTCAAACATCTCTCTCCCAGCTTCTTGACTCCAAGTAGAATCACTCTATCTACTTCATCCCCCAGGCACCTAGTGCACTGATGGAGTCTACCACTGACTATCATATATATTGCATTTTCCTTTCCAGCTGGATTCACTTTCCCATTAGATAGCGAGAGCAGGGCACAAGCCATTTCTTACCATCTTTGTTTCCAGAGGCCATGATATATAGCACGTGCTCTGGGCCTGTAGAACAGACATGCATTCACATATATAGCAATGCTATTTGTAACCAGACCCAAGTCCAGCTGCTCACAACACGACAGGCCGATTAACTTGCAAAACAAGTGCATGGAAGGTGACTTTACTCAAAAAGTTGGCTAAACCAGAAGATGAGGGACTCTTGTCATAAGGTCCATCTTACTGGGAAGCTTTAGGAGTGGTTTACAGAGGGGAGGATGGTAGGTCTTCCAGGACTGGTGCATACCTTCTCCTAACGGGACCAGATGATGCTCATCTGATCCTAATCATCCAGACACAAGATGCTCTGCAAATCTCAGTTCTGCAAATCTCAAAAACAAAGATTATTTCCTTGGGTTATTCTTGTCACTGATTGGTACCCCCATGTGGACTTCCTGGCATAATGCACCACTGACAGGCTAAAGGGCCCTGAAGTCTCCATGCTGATCGCCATATCATAGAAATGAAAGAATACATATTTTCATGATAATTTGGGAGACCAGGGTCAAGTGAGGTTAAATAAATAGAGACAGATGAGGGTAGCTCAAGCCTGTAACCCTAGGTACTTGGGAGGCAGAGATAAGGAGGACCATGGTTCAAGGACACCCTGGGCAAAAAGTTTGAGACCCCCTTCATCTCAGTCAACAGCTGGACACAGTGATGTATGTCTGCTATCCCAGCTCCCTGGGAGGCAGAGATTGGGAAAATAACGGTTTCAGGCCAGGCTACAGAAAAAAGTTTACAAGATCCTATCTCAACATAAAAGAAAAAACCTGAGAGTGGTGGCACATGCCTGTCATCCCAGCTATGGGGGAAAGTATAAAGTAGGAGGGTCATGGTTCAGGCTGGCCTGGGCAAAAAGTGAGACTATCTCAAAAATAAAGCAAAAAGGGCCGGAGGCATGGCTCAAGTGGTACAGTGCCTGCCTAGCAAGCACAAAGCCTTTACTTCAACCCCCAGTACCACCAAAAATTAAAAATAATTAAGGAGTCATCAGGACATTTGGTCTCCATGGCTCAGCTTCCTGTTCTCACAGTACCACAACTGGTGGCGATCCTAAAGAATGACTTCCGCCAATACGTAGGTAATGAGACTAGCTGGCTTCAAATTCCTCCTGTATACCTCTCCCCAGCACAACCACTTAATAGGAAACAGAGCATGCCATCTTGTACCCTGAAGCATACACCTAGCATTCTTTGAGAGGGGGCAAATTGCAACTAGAAATTTTCATCACAGCAATTTTGCTCTTTTAAACAGAGAAAGTTTGGAGTCTGGAGGTACAGCTCAGTGGTAGAGTGCCTGCCTTGTATATGTAAGACCCTGTTTTTGATCTCCAGTACCAAAAATAAATGAGAAAGCTGTTTGGAAAGTAGAAAAGAGCCTGTTGCTAAAAATATAGTTTAAAAAAGCCCTGAATGGTCTAGTTCCTTATTACCCCATGCTTAAGTATCTGTAAGAACTACTTTCCTATCTGGTTTCCTGACCTTTATTTTTTTTCTTCTTCTATCCAGCTTGTGTGCTGCCAGATAAGAGGTTTTTTTTATTTCAAAAATATTATTTGAATTAAGGAAGACTTGTCAAAGTATCATCCTATAGCATATATAACAAACCAGCCACCCACTAGCTGCACAGACATTGCTTACCCCGGTGCCCTATCTAACACCCAGGGCTAATCACTATCTGCCACTTTGATTTTTTATTCCACTTGTTAAAAGAATATAGATTTTTTTTTCAGTACTGGGTTTTGAACTCAGGGCTTCATGCTTACAAGGCAAGTGCTCTCCTGACTGAGCCAAACCTCCAACCCAAAAGAATATAATTTTATCACATGTATATATAGTCTCAATTATTACATTGTCAGTTTGCTGACTGTGGTGGTGGGAATAAGTGGTCTGTGCTAAACTGAGTATCTCCCAAGATGTACTCATTTCACTCAGCATCAAAATTCCAAAATTCATCCATGTTGATGCTATTAACCTGCTTATTTTGTTGTTACATAGTGTCAAGTGTGCCCACACCACACACTTTTCTCTTATCTTGCCAACCAACTCTGATTGTTTTCAATGCTTGCTGTTATGAAAATGCAGCTATGAACTTTTTTGGTAGTGCTGGGGGTGGAAACCAGGGTGTTGCACCATGCTAAGCAAACACTCTGCCACTGAGCTACATCTTCAGACCCACTGTGAACATTCTTGGTACCCAGATGTAACTTGGGCATTTCTAGAAGTGGAACGGTAGGTTATAGGGTATGAAGATGTTTAACTTTGTGAAATACTGTCAGTGTTTTAATAGATATTTCCCCAAATACCACTGCTTTCCCTGCTTAAAAAGAACTCAACATAATCATTATCAAAATACAAAACAAAAACTAATCCATACTTGCCATTTCAAACTGGCCGCAACCTAAATTCCATACCTTCTTTTGTACAACCCCGCCCCTGACGCACCTCATTGGCTCTCTAGCACAGAACACACCTTGCTTATTTTCAACAGAGGAGCCCTGCCCCACCATTTCTACAGCTTTGCACCCTACTCCTGCCCTGGGTCGTTGTCCCTTCACAAATCCTATCCTGATCACTTCTGCCCATAGAACTCTCTCACTTACCTCAGCTCCTAAAATACCTACTTTCTGCACCAGACATCAGCTTTCTCTACTTACACCTGGGATACCCTGAGTTTCCTGCTGCCTCACTGGAGAAACAGACGTTTCAACTAAACCATGTGATCTGCTTTATTGGGAAGTCAGCATTTCCAATTTTAGTATTTGGTACTTTCCTCACCACTGCCTTGCTTTGGGAACAGCTTCTTTGGTAGCTGGGAGATAGATTAATCTTAGATTCAATGTTTTCCCACATAACTTTTGACATGATTATGTTTTATTTTCCCAAGTAAATTATAACCATGTTGGAAGATGGCTAAAGATGGGCTGAAATGTTTACTTTGCCTCTTCCCAGGACATGTCCCAAGCTGTGTAATAAATCTTTCTCTGCCCTTCACTATGTTTCTTTATTTAGCATATAGGAGCAAGTGGCCTGACCTGGCATGTGGAATCCCAGGAGTTTGAGCCTAGAGCCCAAAACTCCAGTTTCAGCTTTGGTGAGGTATTCCAGGAGAAAAGGCAACCTTTAGGTGCTAATCACTTGCAGCTAGTCAATTCTGTATGGAGAAGAAAGATGGAATTGGCTCTCTGCAGGTGCTGGAACTACATTTATTCCAGGGACTTCTTATCTTTCCACTTTGGCCAGCACCAACTGCTTTTTACCATCACTTGGTGAGGCAGAGAAATGAAAATCTGGACTGTAGGAACCTTAAAGTCTGACCTTGGTGAGTTCTCCCAGATCCATCCATCTGTGCACGTCAAGCCTCCCCTTCCTTTTCCTTATTGTCTGGAGGGTTTTCTCAGCATTTGGAATCATTTGAGAACTTTGTGCTGGCAATTAGTAGGGAAGAAACCAAGGTGTTTTGTTGGAGATTTCTGTTGTGATCTGCTTAAGAATGAAAAGCACTAAGTCTATCCTGCCTCTTAGGGAGAATTCTACCTGACTAGTCTACTGAGAGAGACAGAAAGAGAGAGAGAGAGAGAGAGAGAGAGAGAGAGAGAGAGAGAGAGAGAGAGAGAGAGAGAGAGAGAGAGAGAGAGAGAGAGAGAGAGAGAGAGAGAGAGAGAGAGAGAGAGAGAAAATGCAGTGTCTAAGAGTGTACTCTGAGTTAATGCAATTGTTTGTGTGTATGATGACTGCTTATCTTGGTGAAAGCTAAAATTCTGATGGCTGTGGCAATAGTCTTGTTGCCAGCTGACCCAAAACACTTCCTGAGCATTGACTCTTGCTTCAGCTATCAAGATAAGCCTCCCAAAATGAGTCCAAAACGAACAGTGAACAGCCATTGGGCACAACTCAGTTTGTTCCTGGAATTCCTAAATAGTTGACCAACATGTGATCACTAAATTAATTTTGCATTTTCATGAGCTCATCTATATGCGCTTGAATTGCCATTTATGACATGCCTAATTAAAAACCTTTTGAGTGTGTGTGTGTATGTGGACATCTTTAGGATGATTCCTATTGTAGAGTTGATGTAGAGGAGCTATGGCCTCTGTTCTCTCTCCTTTCTATCATCTCTTTTGCTGCCACTTCTAAGAAAGCCAACTTTCCAAAGTTCTTATCTCAACCAGGTCTAACTAAAATGTAGGTATTTAAGAATTATCCTCTACTTTAGGATTTATGAAAAAGAATTTTATGGACCTTAACCTGTTTCATTTTGTTAGAAGTGTAATTTACATTCAACTCTCTTTTATAATTGGATCTGTTAACAAATGTGTTTTTGTAAATACTATTGAATAGAGAAACAGCTTAAGATTTCTTCCCTGGTCTTCATTAAATATAAAGCTACTAAGAGTATTTTATTTTGTTGAAAAAGAAACAATTTTGTCTAAATTCAAAACTTTGTAAAAATTATTCAAAACAAAAATTAGAAAAAAAGAAGAAACAAAAGAACTAGCAAGTAAGAAAGAGACAGAAAGGACTGAATATGTTTTAGGAAAAAAAAGTTAAAGGGAAAAGGAAATGATTTTAAATGAAAAAGGATTTTAAAGTAAAAATTGTCCTAAAAAATTTTTCCAAAATGGAAAAAGAGGGATAGGATAAAAAAACAACAGGCTCAGAAAGTTGTGTAAGTATCTGAGTAGATCTTAAAAATACATAAAAGATAAAGTTTATCAAAAGTTTATGTTTGTGATTAAGTAGGCTACAATTTAAAAATCACCTAAAGAATTTTCTAAGGTCAAAATTTAGTGTACTGTTATAAAACTAGGACTTACTTCTCTAGGTTTTTAATGACAAGGCTGTCTTACTTTCTACTCTTACAAGCATTTGTAAGAAACTGGCTTACAGGAAAGATTTTGTGTTTTTGTCAAAATAATTGCTGTGTTTTCTGTTGATCTTGTCAAGCTTTTGACTATTAGAAAACTAAACTGTAACTAAATCAGAATTTATATGAAAGTCTCTTAAATGACTACCTTATAATTGTGTGGTGATACAAAAACCTATTGTTTTAAGTAATTCTAACACAATTAGTGCTCTATATGTCTGTGGCAAGAGGTATGTAAGCTATGTGCTAAACTTTATCCAGATATTGTGCAAACATTTGCACAGTTAAAGGTGTGTAGGTTTAATGACAAGATTAATTAAAAACATTATTGGCATATTAAAGTTCTAGACTATCTTTATATGTCTTTGCATTTTCCACAGCATTTAACATAGTTTTATGTATTTGGCAAGAACATAATTCAACAGTTATTTAATATTTTAATGAATACATGAAAATGCAGAGGGCTGCACAAATCTGTTAGTAATGATAACAAAATCTAGACAAAAGAGACTGGGCATGGTGGCTCAAACCTGTAATCCTAGCTCCTCGGGAGGCAGAGGTTGGGAGGATCATGGGTGGAGGCCAGCCTGGAAAGAAGTTTGAAAGACTCCATCCATCTCAACCAGTGCTGGGCACAGTGGCATGTACCTGTCATCCCTAGCTACACGGAAGCACAAATAGGAAAATCACAGCCCAGACTGGCTAGGGCGTAAAGCAAGACCCTATCTCAAAATAACCAACACAGAAAGAGTTTGCTAATACGGTAGAGCACCTGCCTTGCAAGTGCAAGACCCTGAGTTCAACCCCCGTACTCAAAACAAAGAGAACAAAAACATCTAGACCAAAGGAAGGAAAAAAAATTGAAAGTTTTTTTTTTTTTTTTTGGTACAAAAACCAGTTTCCATAAAGTATATAGCAAGTCAGGCTTTCTACTCTTACCAACTCTGTGTAAAATTATATTTTTCAAATTTACCCAAATTAAATACTAATAAATAATATATTCTAGCATAATACATTTTTATAAGCTTAGAAAGTACAGTACAATAGAGGCAAAGGTATCTAGAGAGCCAATCAGAAAGCCCAGACACAAATAACATCGCGTCTTTAAACTGCCTGTTACTCTTTGCACAACAAAACCTGGTTGAGTTTAGCTCTGTAGCATCTGTCTCTGAAATATGCTACTTTGTATTTTCACCATGATTGTAACTGGGAAGTAATTCATTTAATTAATGGCATTTTCTGTTTCAAAAGATTCTTTTCATCAAGTTGCTACCCATCCCCTTCCTAAAAGGCACTACAATGTATAAAATTTAAGGCAGAAACGAATAACATTAGCTTCCAGTAAAAAAGTAGAATGAACTTTATTAGTATGAAACATTTGAGATAATTCATTGTATTTGTGACCCAAGTACATGAATCTCAAATAAGAAAGAGTTTTAGCACAATCACAGAGTCATTTATTTAGTAAAACTGTTCTTTATGAGGCCCCGAGAAAAGCAGGAGGCACTTTCTTTTTTGGGTACAGATAAGATACTGCTTAGTCGGCTGGTTCTTTGAAAGACTTTACTGTGATTCCTTTTTGTCAGATTCCTCCTCCTCAAACTCGACTAAAGGAGCATGTCTGCTGGCCTGAGAACCTTCTCTGAAGAACACTTTCCTTATCGTGCCATCCTTTGGAGCCTTTATGGTATGCTGCAGAGACACAAGCCAGACAAACAATGGTGGCAATACTAATGAGGACTGGGTATGTACCAAGCCAGAAAGTCAGACAAAAGTGAGAAATACAGCCAATTGCTTTGATGTTTTACAGCTCTCAGTGCTTCCCTTTTTCTTTCTTTCTTTTTTTTTTTTTTTTACACACTTCAATGCACAGAGAAAATGGTAACATTTTTATGGCTGAGAGGAATGAGTAACCCATTCAAGGCCATGATCAGGAAGCTCTGGTCTAGCCAGTAGCCCTCAACTCCAGCTCCGTACTAGAATCTTACTTGGGAAGCTTTTAAAAAGTACTAGGGCTGGAAGTATAGCTCAGTGGTAGAACACCTGTCTAGCTTGCAGGAAGCCCTGGGTTCAATCCCCAGCACTAAGAAAGAGCAACAAAAAAGGGTACAGATCCTGGACTCCACTACTGGAGATCACAATTCAACTTGTCTGGGGAAGTCATTTTGAAAAGCTCTGCAGATAAATGAAATATTTGGCCAGAGTTGAAAACTGCTTACCTGCAATTTTTAACCATCCAAAACCCTAAACAGCTACTTTAATGTGATTGAGGTTTTGACTTTGATATTAATGCTTGGCATCCTAGGTTCAGCTTAAAAATACCATCAGTTAACATTTGACTGGGTGACTGCCTGATTCCAAGATAATGATAATTTCATTCATTTCAGAATCAAAAACGATAGGTACAATTTCACAAAATTAAAAATGTATTTACAAGAAGGATGGTTTGGTTTTATTTCCTGCAATTAATGTTTGGCCAATCCATGGCTCTTAATATTTAAAATGGTATTAACTTATGAAATAAGACAAAAGAGCAATTAGGCCTGATAAATCCCACGGTTTCCCTGGTAACTGAACTGATTTCCCATACCTCCATTTTCATGGCGATCATAACCATCAGGGGATCTCCAGCTTTTACTGTGTCTCCAGCTTTCACAAACACCTAGACATCCAGGGGAGCAGGTTAGTGTTTTAACACAGAGGTCTTTCTTGTCTACAGATTTGGTGTGTAAACATACAGCCAGACACGTGTGTCTATGTGGTTGAGTTGTCTGCCAAAGACAAACATACTAGTGCAAACTGGAGACCTCCAGGTCATCTGGCATCGCTGGCACCCTTGTTGGGGGTGCCTATTCCCCTTCCTTCCTACCTCCCAAACCAAGTTTTACTTAAATCAGATGACTGTATTTATATACATTGTATCCTTTTTTTCATGAATAAACAATCAAAAACATCACCAACAGGTAAGGACTAATATAACTAAATGTCTCCTCATAGATAGGATGGAGAGACAAGGGTCCTGACTGGTTTTCTGGTTTTAGGATTGCCTAGTACAGTGTTGCAAATCTGTAGGGCCCTGTGTAGTGTATAGGCAATCCCCACATAAGAGAAACTTATTACCAACCCCAGAAAAAATACTTCTATTTGTTTTTTACAGGCATGAAATAGCTAATATATCTCATATGGTCTCACTGTCTTTTTGGTTAATCCAGTTACCAAAGAGTTTCTGGCACACACAGTGGCATTAGGCTCTAAAGTGACTGTGTAGAGCCCACACTGAAAAGTAGGTGGCACCTGTGAAAGCCCCTCAAATGACCCAGTCCATGTAAAGCCACTGCCTGGGCCTAGGTAAGACTAACACCTACCAAAGGAAGCCACACTGAGAGGCTGGAGGAAACCAAGACTGACAAGATAAAGGAAAACCGAGGTTTTAGGCTGACACACTTTTGGGGCAAATATTCCCAAAGGTGGACAGTGGGTCATTTAAATAATTACTTTCTTTTTTTGTAGGCTGCAAGAATATACAGCTGAATTTTTATTCTTGTTTTTTTGCTGTGCTGGGGATTGAACCCAGAGCCTTACATATGTTAGGAAACTGCCCTACTGGTGACCTACAGAAGAATTTTTATGACTTAAGTATGAAAGACTCTCCTGTATTCAGGACTATAAAGGAGACTGCTAGTACCTTACCATTTGAAGTTATATCAGTCTATGCTAAGGTTTGAATGTTGTGGCCCCGCAACATTCCTGTTGAAATCTGCACCACAACAGTTTGCAGTATTTGGGTCTCTGGTAGTCAGTTAGGTCATGAAGGTTCTGCACTCTCAAATAGAATTAGTGCCTTTATAAAAAAGGCCCCAAAGAAGTCCCGTGCCTCATCTATCATGTAAGCACACAGTGAGAAGATGGCCCTTTTATGAAACCAGGAAGGAGACACAAACTCCAGGATTTTCCAGCCACCAGAACTAAGAGAGTAAAATTCTATCATTTATAAGCTACCCTGTCTATGGTATTCTGTTATAGCAGTCCAAATGGGCCTCAACTCTGAATAAATCCTGGATTCAACATTAAGCCACGTTATTTTTCACCAATACCAGTCTTTCAAATTTTACTTCAACACAGATACAATGAGGACTACTAGAGCATCATTATTTCATGACAAAACTGTCTGCTGTTAAAATTAAAAACTTCATTTTTAGATAATGCTTGGTGAGTGATTCATTTTAATCCATAAAAACACAGTTTGAGCTGGGCACAGTGGTATGCACCTGTAGTTCCAGCACTTACGAGGTCTAAGGTGGGAGGATCACTTGAGTTGAGGAGTTTGAGACCAGCTTGGGAAACCTCGTAAGACACCAAAATAAATAAATGAAATAAAATAAATAAATAAATAAATAAATAAATAAATAAAAACCTGAATTACTTTTTTTTGGGGTGGGGGGTGCTGGGGATTGAACCCAGGTCTCTGCGCACGCAAAACACATGCTCTACCACTGAACTAGAACTCCAACCTTGGGTTAGTTGTACATTTTTTGGGGAGGAGGGAAACAGGATCTCTTTATGTTGCTTAGGCTGGTCTTGAACTCCTGGGCTTAAGTGATCCTCGTAGTTGGGAGCACAGCCTCAAGCCTCATATCTCACACAGTTTTATGTCATGGTGAATTCCCACCTTCAAAAACAGCAGCTTCAGCTGGGTATGGTGGTTCATGTCTGTAATTCCAAAGGAAAAGGATGTATATGACAAAGTTCAACAGATATTTACTAGGCCTATTGGGCATCACTCTATAGAAATCACGTGATTACTTTTTCAATGGTGCCAGTCATAGGAGCGATGGTACCTCCCTGAGTTCCATCTGAGCTCACAGAAGACAAGTACTTGGGTACTGGAATGTCAATCTCGGTACTGCCGTCCTATATAAAGAAAATAAACAAAATGGAATCAAGATCCCATTTACTAATGGAATACTTGGGTACATTTACTAATGTACCCAAGGTATTGATAGCTTCTCAGTTGTCAGTTGACTATTATCTTTGATACCAGAGTTGTAATCTGCTTTGTGACCTTGAACAAAATCTAAACTCTTCTCAATGTTGATCTCCCATTATAAAAGAGTAACAGTATATATACCTCATAGGGGAAGAAAGAAGTAAAGCATATGACTGTAGGTAACACCCACTATTTGGAAGCAATTTTTAGTAGCATCCCCACTAATGAGTGCATAATCAATGCCAGGAATTTAACATTTATATATGTTATTATCATTAGTCATCAAGACAACTCTATGAAGAAGGTACAGTTATTATTCCTATTTATATGGGGAAATGAAGCTCAGATAGTTTAACTGTACAAAGTCACACAGTTGCTAAGTGGCAGGGCCAGATTTTCAACCAAAGCAGCTTCACATTCTAGAACAAATGCTCTTTACCACTCTACACACTGCCTCAACCATCATATTGTTATAGCATAGTCAACTACGGGAAGGAATCTCTGGTAAAGTGGTAAAGTGGGATCATCCTTGACGCCACATATAGGAGGATAATTACTAGGATACTAAAGCCATCTCATCACAAAGCACTGTGATCTGTAAGGTGACTCTCAGATATAAGAAGACTCTGAAGAGGCCACAGTATAATCCATTCTCCTTCTGCCTGGGCAGAAGGACTCATTGGTCAGCAGGCTCCTAACCAAAGCTATGCAAAGCCTGTCTTGCTTTGACTGCCAAGAGACCACCTGTAATCTCATCTGCCTTTATACTGTCCACTTCTCCACAAGGAATATTTGGTCCACAGACTCCTCTCCCAGAGGTTGCCTCTTTTCAAATTCCCAGGGTTCCAAGTGTCAGGAGGATGGTGGCTGGGGAAAGCGTTCAGGCATCAGAGCCCCAAGAGAACACCACCACTGAGTGGGGACAGACTCTGACAAGGAGAGGTTAAATCTTGCTTCAGAATTCAAAGAAGAAAATGGCTGTGTATCTTACAATCAGAATCTGTGTGAGCAAAACAGGTGAACAGAGAAGCTGGGCATCAGTGGCTCACGTCTGTAATTCTAGTTACTTGGGAGGCTGAGATTGGCAGGTTTGCAGTTCAAGGCCAATCTGGACAAATAGTTCAAGAGACCCATCTTCAAAATAACCAGAGCTAAATGGACTGGAGGTGTGGCTCAAGAGGTAGAGCTCCTGTTTTGCAAGTGCAAAGTCCTGAGCTCAAACTCCAGTCCCACCAAAAAGAAGAAAGAAATGAATGAAGAACTAGAGAAGGCAAGAATGTGGCGGAGATGTGGAGTGGAGAGGAAGACAAGCACAGCGGAACTTTTCTAATCTCTTTCAGAGAAAAGCCTCTGGTGGGCAAGTCCCTCTCAAACCCCAAAAGCAATATCTTAAGAACAGGCATCACCATGGAAAACAGGTAAATAGTGTTGTCCAGAATAATCAGCTTAGCTTTCCTGGAAACCCCATTGACAGAACACATCAGGTGAGTGCAGTCTCCCTCACTGTGAAGATCACCAAGGACTCTGAAGGTTTTATTTTCAATCTGAAAAGGCAGAAAACAGCTTCATAAGAAAAAAACAGTCCTACAGAATTAATAAAACCGAAATCAATCTCTACTATGTTTTTGTTTTTTTGGGGATACTGGGGATCAAACCCAGGGCCTCATGAATGTTAGGCAAACACTCAACCACTGAGCTACAAACCTAGTCCTCAATCTTCACTATGAAAGGTATACAAAATATTTTTTAAAAGGAATCATGTAGGAACTTCCCTCTGAGATTCTTAGCCAGATACATTAGCTAGAAATACCAGTAAGATAATTAAAACAGGAAAGTTAGCTATAAAATCTATCTATAGCAGCATAAGCGATAGATGAAGTATCATCTAAGAACAGAAAGAAAAGCAATAAAATGTTAAATAAAAACACAAACCAAATTTTATACTTTTCTGAGTGTCTAAGTCAAATTGAGTTTTCCTGTGTCAATGTCAGCAATGAAAAAAATCTCAGAACCACACAATTAGATGTTTTGCACTTCTTTTATCTCATCAACGTGTATATCTGATTCATGGGTTCCAGTTATGACTTAATAAGATAAGTTAGCTGGAGAGTGACCACCATTTTCTTACTCCAAGAGGCTGTGTGCTAAAGAATAGATTTCATATTTAATGTGCCAAGGAAGCTGATAAAAACACATGAAACTTTTCTGCTTTAAGAGAAACTTCCTTTGCATACAAAGCCATTTAAATCTTTTCTCTATATTTTTTCATTTCAATTCCTATGATGTTAGCATAAGAGTTTTGTGGCTATTCTTTTCAAATATATGATGAAGGTAAGGGGAACTAGATCATACTGCAATATTTATACCTTGGTTCTCATCTATCCTAAGTTAAATATGGTGTTTTACTCGCTTTGTAATCTACTGAAACAGCATTTGAATGTTTATGAAATTCTCAGATATAAAGTTAGACTGGAAATAGTTTTGTCTAAAGATTCACCAAGCACATTCTAAATTTGTGAATCTAGCCAATCAGAACAAGCTGGCAATTTACTTTACCAGTTACCACGGGACAAGAAAAGGTCCACAAACCAGAGGCACCAAGATGAATTAGAGCTCTCATATACTAAAGTAGGTAGATTTCCCATGTTTTTTTGGATCTCAGAGAAAGAAAACCATTGTGTCTCAAAATGTTGGGAAAGTCTAGCATGTATCACTGACAAGCCTAATTGGTAGGATTTGAAATCCCTTACCTCATATTAAATATGATATATTCCATTCCTTGAATTTGTTTCTTACTATAGGAATTTAGTCAAATTCCTACATTTTAAAACCTTTTTAGCATTTTGTTTTGCCAATGTAATGAACATTTTTAATTGAGGGCTATTATAAACTTTACACTGGAAGTTCTTAAAGTGTGAGATTCCTTGGGATCTCACCAGCCATTTAGGAGATCCATGAAGTCAAACTGTTTTTACAGTAAGACTAAGATGCTATTTCCCTTTATAAACCCTCATTCTCCCATGAGTGGAATTTTCCAGGAGCTACTGCACACATGGCAATGCCATCATTCTGATGGCTAATGAAATGTGTACTTATATAATCTTAGATGTATAAATTGTCTCTGCCTATACTCTAACTCAACAGGAACAACAAAATAACTGGGTTAAAGAACAGGCAAAGGAGAACTGGAGATGGTCACACACGCCTGTAATCCCAGCATTCAGGAAGGCTGAGTCAGGAAGATTGTGAGTTTGAGGCCAGCCTGGGCTACAAAGTAAGTTCCAGGCCAGTCTGCAAAGGACTTGAACAGATATTTGACTCAAGAAGATACACAAATGGCCAGTAAGTATATAATAAGATGCTCAACATCCTTAGTCATTTGCAAGTCGGTGTCACAATGTGATATCACTTCATACTCATTAACAGCTATCATTAAAACAGTAACAAAACAAAGCAGAAAATAAGTAGTGTCCAGGATGTGGAAAAACTTAAGCCCTGTACACTGCTGGCGGGAATGAAAAATGGTGGTGCTGTTATGGAAATCAGTATGGTAGTTTCTCAAAAAATTAAAAAGAGATCTCGTAATTCCACTCCTGGATCTGTACCTAGACCCCAAAATTTAAAAGAGTGCTTTGAAGCATACTTGTGTCTAGCAGCATTATTCACAAGAGCTGAAAGCTGGAAATAACCCATGTGCACTGACAGATGAATGGATAAAGAAAATCTGGTACACGCATAGAATGAAATATTATCTGCCTTAAAAAAGGAAGGAAATTCTGACACATGCTACAACATGGAAGAACCTTAAGTGAAATATGCCAGTCACGAAAGAACAAATATTATATCAGGTACCTAGAACAGCCAAATTCATGGTGATAGAAAGCAGATTGGTAGTTCTCAGGCTGAGAGGAAAGGAGAATGGAGTCAACACTGTTTCATGGGCAAAGAATTTCAGTTTTGAAAGATGAAAAAAGCTCTGGAGATGGACGGTGGTAATGGTTACATAACAATGTAAATGTATTTAATGCCACACAGCCTCATACTTAAACATTATTAAAATGGTTCCATTTTATGATATGTGTATTTTTACCATAATTAAAAAAATAAAATTTCCTAAATGTTGTCAATAGATATAAGTACCAATAGCTGCTTGGTAAGGGCAGGATTTCCTAAATAATTTTTAAGACTATACAGTGTTCTTAAGCCCCCCAAATTAAATGTTGCCTTCGATGGGAATACATCCATATTCTTTAATGGCTTCTTAGGTGTCTGATTCAAGTTTTTAGTGTTTTGCAAACGTTTTATTCTTGAGGGAACCATAGCCAAACTGAGTCAACAATGAGTTAGAAATTATACAGGGGGTAATTTTCTCCAAACTAATCTGAAATAGAAGCACATGACATTCTCCTAACTATAGTTATAATAGTCAAAGGCTTAAGAGAAACTGGAGAGTGAAAAAAGACCCTATTCAGTATAAGAGAGTGATCATGTTTACTTCTGAACTACAGAACAAAACCAATAAAGCTCACCTGCATGGTATACGACCCATCGTGGTTATATGTTACAGCTATGGTGACATCTTTATGGAAGAGGGAAAAAAATTGAAGAAAAGTTAGAAGAGCTTCAATTATTCAATAACCAAGATGCTAAAATTCTTACTTTGAATCTTACTTAATAATCAGCTATTTAAAGAAGCATCAACTGGTCTTTCAACTGCCTGGTAATACAGACTTTTTTTTCTTTCTTAGAAATGCATCAGGAGATTTCAATAAGGGTGAACTTTTCAAAGCTTTTAATGGAATTTTAGATACTTTAAGGTGGCAGAACACTGGAAATGTTTATCCCTGAATGAGAAGACTGTACCATTATATCAGAAAATGCAGTGAACTGGTAAAGAGAAGTTCTGGTTTAAACAACCAAATCTACCATCTGATTACCTCTATGGTCTTGACTAAGTTCCTCAATCTATGGATCTTTATTTTCTGAGCTAATTAAATTGGTATCGGAATATAACAATGATTATATAAAAGTGAAAGTGTTTTATAAACTGTAACACAGTACAAACCTAAGAGGTTACTCATGTTATACATGAATATGGAATTGAACACTATCCTAGGAGGTGGAGAACAAGTGTTTACGGAAGTGTGGGGTGTAACTCAGTGGTATCACATATACAAAGGCCCTGGGTTCACTCAATAGCACCAAAAAAAAAAAAAAAAAAGTTTTGTGGGACAGAGTATATAGGCCAATGTCATTTTATCAGCTTCTGATTTGTCAGTTATCATTTTGATGCTCTCCTGACCTTCCTTAGAACTGATTAGTCATTCCCAGCTGGATAAGGATTGGCACCTTGAAATGCACATGCTAGGTCCAGCAAGTCACTGTCTCCTCCTGACTTGGGATCTCCAGGACTGGCACCACTGTTCTCCCTCTCATCCTATGGTCACTGCACAGCTGCCGGATTCTTCCCTTTGAGAACATGCTCCCTGTGTCTCTTCTTTCCATTCCCATTGCTCTCAGGGACCAGGCTCGATTGCCTCAGGTCTGGCTGGCTCTGAGAAGGGTCTCCAGATCTTCCTGTTTACTGTCTCAAAAAACACTTGGTCTGGTATTGAAGGTCCCAAACTCTCAATCTTACTTCCTACCTTTCCCACACACACATGGCCCTAGGCTCCAACCAAATGGGAAATGGGACAATTAATATTCCCCAAATGTGCTTCTACTCATGGTTACTCCTTCCCTACCTTGTTCTCCCTAGCTACTACAATGAAACCCAACACCTTGCTCATGCTGTGAACATCACTCAGCATATCTTGTTTCAAAAGCTTTGTACTGTGTATGAAAACTCTCCATCCTTTAATTTGTCAACATGCTTTAACTTTTCTTAGGGGAAAAGTGCCCCCAATTACATCAGATAAATTTTCTTTCAATTTATAAAATATGAAAAGTATTTAACTGACATCAATGCTGGTAGACTCAGAGTAAACACACTGCCAGAAAAACTCTAAATTCTTTTATAGTATTATAGGGCAATTGAGCTTGCTACTCCCTCCCTGAGATATCTCTTTTTACCTGCTAGAGAACCTCAAACATCCTTTTATACATTTAATAAAATATGGTAATTCAGAATGGTGCAGTATTAGGTATGCATGTGTTCCCTGGAGTATAGGTTCAAATACTCACTCCACCAATACTTTTGCTGGGACTTTTGAAAAATTACTAATCTCTCTGAGGTTTGACTTTCGCTCAGAGAGATTAGTAATTTATAAAGTTTGCACTGATAATAAAATTGACACTAATAACACTGATCTCATTGACCTGTTCTGAAAAGGCAAATGAAATAGTCTTTAGAAAGTATTTAACACAGTATCTGAACATACTCAATAAATCTTAGCTATTATTATTATTGAGGGTCATGCAGGGTTCTATAAAATATGACCAATGGTAACAAAGTAAAAAAAATTCAAGTCTTAAATACAATACTTAAAATACTTGGTCATTCTCAATAAGATCACTCAAAGTTGGTTCTACTTTAGACTCATACATGTCTTAAGGCTTCCTGTTTGGTATTCTTTCTTATTCAACCATGGTCCTTGCTAATTAGCATTTTTCAGAGACTCACTGTAATATTTCCCAAAGCCATTACTTTCAGAACTGGATTGTTTTCATAGAATACTGCCAAAAGTGTATAGTGAACAGCAATCATGTTTGCTTTTCAATTCTGCATTTAAAAAAAATTAACCCTTTTTATAATCACACATGTGATTATTCTGTTTAAGTTTAAAGAGGCAACTACAACAAGAACCTTATGCTTCTGCATTCAGTGTATAGGAGTCTCAAGTAATAATATTCCCATATCTTGGAGGCTGCTTTTTAGAATAAAAAAGTAAACACATGAGCATAAAATGGATGGGTTAACCATTTGTGGAGTGCTACTACTACGCAAACTTTCTTTATGAAGGCTTGGAGATTCACCCTCTGCACTTAAGGTAAGGACCATCTAGACTCAGGATGTCAAAATGGGTTCTTGAGAACTTGTCCTCTATGTATCTTTTCCTTTCCATTCCTATTGCTTTACCCTGACCCAGGTCTGACAGTCTAGCTCTGAGGAGATCCTCCATGATCTTCCTGCCTCAACCATTCCAGGTGTAACCCAATCAATTTCTGTGAAGGGAGAATCTGTTAGTAAGTGAGGAGATGTCTAGAGAGCTGAAGTAAAGATCATCCTATTCTGCTCAGAGAAGAGGTTGCAGTCATCAGCTGGACACCTCACATTCAAGGTTATCCAGGACTCTCAGCTCTCACTGTGCCCATCTGGCTTCCCATGCAAACTGTCCTACAGCGGAAGGGATGTATAGTCACTGGCTGTCACAGGATTCTGGTCTTTCTGATATAGTGCAAACTACCTTGCTTAGGTGTCAGTCTTTTTTGACCCCAGCAAAGATAAATCATAAAAAATAAATGTTTCACTGGAAAAGCAGCGGAAACAGCCTGGGAGTCAAGGTCAAAGAGTGGGCATCACGTCTGTCTGTATGCTCTGGAAACTACTGGTCTTAAGTACTTCGCTTTTCGTGCCTCAGTTTCATTACCCGTAGGTGGATATAGCAGTGACTCGTCCTCATTAAGTTGTTGTGAAAGTGAAAACACACACTCAACTACAGCTGTTCAGTGACCATCTCCACCTGAAACATCCATAATCCTGCCCGAGCACAGAGTGATCCTTCATCCCTGACATCGTTTTGGATATTGTTTTTCTTATTTTCTTATATTCTCATGGCAGAAAAAAATGCAAAGCAAAAAATGTACAAAGAATGAAGGTAACCTCACTTAAATCTGGGTGTATTTCATTTCAGTTGTTTGCTGTGTATGTTTTATGGCACTTTAGAATACTTACAAAAATAGAACAAGTATAAGGGAAAAATTAGAATTAATTCTCTTACCCAGAGCCAATCAATTCTAATTTTGGCATATTCCCTTCAAATGTTTAAATTTAGGAATTAAAAAAAATGTAATTGACTGGTCAGGAGCAGGCTGAAATGTCTTTTTCAGTTCAATGTGATAGATTTCTGTGATTCACATTGCTCTCTGAACAAAATTTTACTTACTGTTTTTACCATCTCTAAGAGTCATGTTTCTGGTGTAACAGATGTTCAGTCTTCTTCCATTGCTGAATGAAAATGGAGAGAATTGATCTAGAAAAAATTTAAAATTCAACAACAAATTTACAGGTATCAAGCCTTCTAAATTATTCCTTACAAAAGAAACCATAAATCACAGGTTCTAAACTGACAGTTCAACTGTGCTTTCTTTGTTCTTGTTTTAAATTTCAACTCTTTCATTTATATCTCAGAAACTTTCATATGAAACATCCCAGCTTCTCTAGAAGAATCAGAACATTTTTTATCTTAAATCTCATCCTCTGGTGGTATAATCTGCACAGTGGTCACCCCCTCTACCACTCCCTATTATTCTTTCATCTAGCCCTTTCACTCTTGTATGTTACTGGTCCAACCCTATAGGCTTAGCGTATAACTTCTATGAGACAAAATCCAGGAGTAATAGCATAACTGAATTGAAGCCATGTATTCTGAAGTTCGTAACTTTGCTACTTATACATTTAAAAAAGAAAGGTGAAAGCAAAAGCATACACCTTTCTAAAAATTTTAAGTTCATCCTCAGGAATACCACATAAGGAATATTTCATTTAATGTAAAAGGACAAAACGAGGATAGAGCCCAAATCTAAAGATGTAACTATACATTTTAAGCTTTAAATTCATTCATCCTGAATGAATCTAGAGATGCAATATGCCATTAATAAGATCTTATAAAACAGGAAAATACGATATTATAATCCTAATAAGAAGAAGATAAATGGATTAGATTTTTCTTTACTTCTGTTCACTCCACAGGTCAGAGTATAAATATGGAGCAAGTTTGAGAGAACTCGGATTTTGGGTCAATTTAGAGAGAACTTTCTAATGCAGAGCTGACTGAAGCTATGATAAGCTGTCTGATAGGTATGGAATTTCTAGTTTCTGATGTGTTAGGAAGAGGCTGGGTAACAACCCAGTGGGAATGCTGAAGAAGGAGTGCGTGTGTGTGTGGCAGCCAGGATGAATCATTGCCCTGGTCTTCCCTGGGCTCCGATTTTATGATACCTCAATGTAACTAAATCTCTAGGTAGACAAAAATGCAGTCACATGACAGAAAAAGAGAGGAACAAGAAACTCAACAATAAATCATGGGCAACCCAGGAGAACATTAAGTCTCCAATGTTTTGTCTTCAGCCTATGGGACCAATGAAGGTGCTGTAGGTAGAGGATAAAACAAAGGCCACAAGGAATGTCATACACAGGAAGTCACAAGGAATAGCTTGAGATATAGGAAGAACCAGGGATTGGTTGAAAAAAGACCCATTTCTATAATGTTAGGGGATTACTTAAGCTACATACAATGGATTAAAAGTGTTCATGGGTGCTTCCATGATGTGCTAAGAGTTCTTCTTCACACTATAAAATACATTTGCTGACAAGAACGTCAGTTGCTGAGAGCAGAAAAGAGAGACAAGTGAGGTATCCAGAAAGAAAAGCCTATTTAATGGTGATTCATAAAGTGTGCTAGGCAGAGGAAAAAGAAAAGCATTCCCTACCTTGTGTCTGAAGTTTGAAAGCATCAGTCATAGCTTTCTCCTTGAGGATGAGACCTAGAGCCGCCTGGCATAAAGACTCTTTGGCTGCAGCACTCCGACTGGACAGTAGTTCCTTGTGGTGTTGAGGAATGAAATCAGTGTGCACATTCCCAGCTTCAAACTCTGGGTGGCCAGACAGGCGGAGCAGGAAGTCAATGTTGGTGCGCAGGCCAACGATCTAGAAGAGAACAAAGCCCCAGTTCCTACTGAGTAGGGAAAACATACATTCATAAAGCATCTGCTCTTTTTTCTAAGTGTTTCCTATTGTGCACAAGCCTTAGGACAAATGAAAAATCTATTAAGGTACCACGTTTGATAGGTCACTCACTATCACCCACATGCATCACTGTATGTCTGGACTTAAAACTGCCTTTTAATAAGACAGAGGATGTAGGAAATGGTGTTACAGTAAGTAGTGTGGAGACATTTAATTGACTCAGGTTAGGAAAGTTGTGTTAACAAATGAGAGTAAATTTCATTTACAAGATAATGAATATACTCAGAACACTATCAGAAGATAGGACAACTGCAAATGGCAGGCAGGATTGCTGTAATGGAGAGGGAACAGATTAAATGGCTTCAAAGGAACTTCTTTCAACACTAAAATCCAAATTTTACACATTGATATAAATTTAAAAAGGAAAAAAGTTAATTTAAATTCACCCAATAAATAGAATCAGAGGTAAAACTAGCTATCTGAGCCTTGGGTTCATTCATTAACTGACTCATCCGTTCTTTCATTTGTTTGTCATTTCCTGAGCACTTATAGCCATCAGGCTCTCATCTAGCATCTGGGGACAGTGAGGGAAAAAAAAAAAAAGATGAAGTCCCTACCCTCATAAAACTTGCATTCTAGAGAGATGGGACGAACAATATCTATTAGCAAACATCTAATATAATGCACGTCTATGAAGGAAACAGGCTAAGAGGACAGAGAACAGCAAAGGGTCCTATTTTAAATGCAGAGGCCAGAAAAGAACTCTGAGGAAGTGATCAGGGCAGAGATCATATGGGGGAAAGAACATTCTGGAAGGGAAGACAGGAACATGCTCCTAGGTTGTGTGTGTTTGAGGAATGGCAAGGAGGCCAAATCAGAGGTTTGATCAACTAAATAATGTATAGTAATTTTAAAGTCAAGAATTAATAAATCCTTCTATGAAGCTAAATCAATGTGGTATATGACTCTCTACACTAAGGAAATTAACATGCTATAGAAAAATTGCAAACTCTGTCAAATGGATGAAAATGAACATAATTATTTTTCTTTGAGAAAAAAGTATCAGACTGTAGACAACACTAATCTAGTTGGCCTTATTTATAGAATGACTGAGGATTTCACTAAAATGTAACAGTAATAGTTTAACTTCTGCAATCTTTCCTTTTCCACGGAAGTCAAGAAGTCCTCAAAGCCTACTCTGACCCATGGAAAATTCCCCATTTCGAAATGATTATGTTTGTGACATGTAGACAATCGAGCTGACAATAACACCAAGACTCTGATAAGGAGAAACGATAACCTTGACGCTGACCAAATGCATCAGGGTCATTAACACGGCCTCCAATCACTCACATTGTACTGATGAAGGCTGTACTTCAGTTTCGCCAAGGCTGCCTGCCGATCTGCAGCCCACACAACAAGCTTTGCAATCATGGGGTCATAATGCACTGAAACTTCATCTCCTGAAATTGAGAAATAACTGTAACCTCTCAAAGTCAAAACTTAAGGAATAAAATACGACAAGCAAGACATTCTGCTTTAGGCACATTTCGCTTTTAGTCCTCATAAACTTCTGTATGACAGATAATGCTGTCACAATATTATTCAAAAGAAAACTGAGGCTCAGGGGTTTACAAACTTGTCCAAAAATCTAACAAGGTCGTGGCTAACAAAGAGCACCGGGGCTTAACAGGGTGATTCAATGACACCCATGGCTTTTCCCATCCTTTCTTTTCTTGAACCTTCTTTTACTTTCTCACTTTCAAAATCAGTGCAAACTCTACCCTGTCACATTCTACTCATGTCTGCTCTTCCCATTCCCCTCCTTCCACTCCTTCAGTTTCCTCATCAGAAAAATAAAGATGACAGTTCTTTTATCCTGATTGGGAGGACTGACAACAAAGTGCCAAGTGCCATACAAGGCAGATTTGATAAACAAATGGCAGCCATCATTGCTAGCATTATATCTCTGGTGACAAGAATCTGAACCATGGCACATTCTACTGCTTAGAAATGGTTAAAGAAGATTGCTGGAGGACATTTTCACAACTGTGGCAGTCACTTAATCGCTCTCAACTTGAGGATCCTCATTGCTAACATCAAGGAGTTGGAATGCACTCTTTCTTCATCTGCACCTAGTCACTCATCAATACTTTGAATATCAACTAGGTTTAGGATTGATCAACATGCTGCAAATATAATATGGAAAACACAGTCCTTCCCTTACGTACCTTAAAATCTAGTGGGGGAAATGAGACAAGGAGGAAAAGATCACAGAAGTCCAGGGAAGATTGTCCTAAGATGAGAACTTGACAGTCCTCAGAAAGACCTTTCTGCTAACCTTTGAGTACCTTTATTAGGCCTTGCTTGTCACACAGGTTGTTTCTTTCTATTTTCTTTTGTTTCCAACATGATCTGTCAAGAAGTTAAAATTTTTGCCAACTATCAAATTTTGCCGTGGTTTAGCCAGAGCTCTCAAAATGCTGCCAATTTATTAGTAAGAAGTCCTAATTCCTCATTTTGGCTTTTAAGTAGCTATAGAATTTGCCCCCAACCTATGTCTCCAGCCACATTTCCAACTACCCACCCACTTTCCTGACCCTTTTCTTCAGGACACATTTTCTTACTGTTCTTTAAAACACCTTCAACTTCTCTTTCCTTTCCTCTTCTGTATGCTGTTAAATCTGTCTATATACGTCCACTCCAGACTTCCTCTGAAAATCTGGCGTTGATTGTATCAGCCCAACATTACCTCTTACTGCTGAACACTGCAACATTCATTCACGGTGTGACTTACTCTAGCACCTGACATTATGATGGCAGCAAACAGCATGGTTCAGAGCACTCTGGGGCCAGAGTCTGAATGAATCTTGGCTCCAAGGATGACCTTGGGCAAGTCACTTAACTCCTCTATGCCCAAATTTCCTCATCCAGAAGGTGGAGGTGATAATAATCCCTACTCACAGCATAGTTCTCATGGTTAAAGAAGCCTATACAGAAAAATCACCTAGAATAGCTACCTTTTCATAGGAAGCACTAAGTAACTGTTATGATCACTGCTATTAATCATATGCTGAACTGTGATAGCTCTTGCACTATTATTTTTAATGTTATTTATCTTGTTATTATTTATTACTTATTATTATTTGGTTTAATATCTTAATTCTCCAACATAACTTTAAAAGTCCCTTGAAGGCAGAGAGCTTTAGCAAACCAAATACCATAGTTACCTTAAATCACTTTTAGACTTAGGCAACAAAAATATACACAAAATACTTCTTGTTAAGTTTTGACCAAGTATATTATATTTCAAAACAAAAGTGCATTATTTAAAATACTAGTTATGCTTTAAAAATACGCCTGAAAGAAAAGGTAAAACTTGATGAGAAATCAATTAAATCCTTTATTTTAAAACCTGTTAGACATTTCCATAAGCTTCAAAGATAAGATTCTACTTCAGAATAGATAATGCACTAAAGTGGGTGGGGTGAAATATTCCTGTAATCCCAGCTACTCAGGAGGCTGAGGTAAGAGAATTGCTTGATCTGAGCAACACAGTGAGACCAGAAAGTTTAGTAAGAGTGAGACTTTGTTTTATTTCACTTCACCTTGCCGAACTCCAGTTTCAATCCTAGTGGAAAGATCTGCTGGAGGAGTAGAGACATGCACCAGTGGCCCGGCCCCTGGCATGAAGTTATTGTCAGGATCTTCAGCATATATTCGAGCCTCAAAGGCATGGCCCACTAGAGGTATTTCTTCCTGGCTCAAAGGGATCTTCTCTCCTGCTGCAATCTGGTAATGGAAGAGCAGTGCTTCTTAGGAAAATCCACCTTACAGCAGCTAGAAGACTTGGTAAGTCAATGGTCTTGCATTTTTCTATGCAAAGAAAAATTTATTTGGCATTTTCTATGCCAAATAAAATCTGATTTTATCCATTTACTTGAGTACCAGGAAAAACAAGACTTTAAAACATGCAGTTTGGGAATAAATCTATTAATTACAATGGGTTCCTTGAGTTTTTAAGTGGGAAAAGGCAAATTGACAGCTAATTTATAAATAGAAAAATCAGTGTTTGTTTACTATAACCGAAACAAAACTTTCCTACTGGCAAGGTTGTCTCAGTTTTCCTTTAAAATATTAGAACTCAGTTCTCATCTCAATTGTTTGAATAGTAAATTATTAGCTGGTGTTCAGGACTAGTTTTGCAGTCAGGGAAACAGTGTGTCTGTCGAGTCACCCTACATTATAATCTTCACCAGTGAGATAAAGCAAAAGGGAAAGGGGAATGTGATAGTTTTTCAATTTCATACTGTTCATGTGTAATACCAGATTACAAACAGGATAATTATTATTGTTCACAGCTACTGTAATTGTTACTATTTGAGCTTTTCTGTATTGATACAACTAGATTTCTCTCTTCAACTAGGATTACTTGGAAAAGGCTATTGGAGCATATGTGGTCACTCCTCTTCAAGTTTTTCCCCACAATCAGAAAATAACAACCTGAGAAAGCAACATAGACACAGAACAAAGGGCTCTAAGTAATTTGACATGATCCTGAACTAAACAGGGAAGTCTATGACAAAGACAAAGCTCACATCTCTTTGAACCTGTAAATAGGAAAGGTCAGAAACCACAATAGTTAAAAACACAAGGAAAAGGAATTATAAATGTCTTTTTTTTTTGTGGGGAAGGTGGTACTGGGGTTTGAACTTAGGGCTTTGCTCTTCCTAGGCATGTGCTATACTGTTTGAGCCTCATTTTCAGCCCTAAATTAAATGTCTACAGCATGGTATTTCAAACCATTGACTCTGCAGCCATATTGCCTGGGTTCAGATTTTATCTCTATATTTACTTTGACCTGGGCAAACTTCTTGAGCTTTCCATGCTTCAGAGAAAAGTGTATGGCATACAACCAGCACTATGGAAGTGTTAGCTAGTATCATTTCATTCTTATCTTCCATAATGAAATTCTCTTTGATGTTTTAATAAAGAGTTCTATTTGTTTTAATATTTAAAAAGGCCAAGCATGGTAACTCAAGACTGTAATCCTAGCTACTTGGGAGGCAGAGATTGGGAAGATTGCCAGCCTAGGCAAAAGTTCACAAGACCCAATCTCAACCAATAAAAGCTGGGCATGGTGGAGCATTCCTGTCATCCCCAGCTACACAGGAAGCATAAATAGGAGGCTTGCAGTACAGGGCTGGTGGTGCAGCTCAAGTGGTAGAGCATCCACCTAGCAAGCACGAGGCTTTGAGTTCAACACTATTACCACAAAAACAAATTACAAACTGACCATGAATCCACATAAGATGTGATATTATTTCTAACTATACAGACCCATTTCAAACTACTTGTCATTGCCTATTTTCCTCTGAGATTGGCTTCCACCTGAGCCCAGAAGAGATTGGCCCAACCACGTCTCCAGGTGTTTGGAATTTTATGCCACTGGGTTCTCTTAGGTTAGGCATTGGCTCATTGGAACCCTTAACCTTGAACACTTTCACCAGCTTCCCCTCAGCACTCTAACCATCTGTACCTGCAGCCTGAATCCAGATGCTGACATCATTGAACCCTCTCTCTAAGAGGCAGGTCCTGGAGCTCAAACTCTTGACTCATCAAATGACAAGGTCCCTGGTTTTATCACTGCCTAGAAGCCAGACTCCAAAGTGCCTTGAGCTCTGTAAGCTAATTCTAGCAATTTCCTTAACTTCTAGAATCTCTTCATAGATGATAAAAACTTGATTTTCTTTTGGATAGGCTATTGTAATTTCTTGAGTTTAAATGCTGGTTTTCTTAATGTCCAAAAGTTTTTGTGTTTCTTAGTCCTTAGAAATCTTTTATCTCCCATGATTTCAAAGGTCTAGAGTCTCTTGGTTATGGCTTCAAAAAAAACCACACATCCTCCTTTTTCTTGAATAATGGAAACATAAGCATTCTTGTCAGAAGTTTCCATATCCATGACAGCTTTCTCTGATACTCACTAACACTTCCTAGTCTGATGTGCCTGGTTTTCATTAGCTCACAAGGCTACAGAGAATTTTTTGGGTCAATTAAAACCAACAATCATCCACCAAAGGAATATCAATATATTATTGTCCACAGAAGTTCTGAAAACAGAAAACTATCAAAATAGTCAAGACTTCAGCATCATAGCCAGGGAAAAATTTAGATTATGAAGAGCAAGGAATCCTACAAGAATCAAGAATATTGATACTACTTAACATTTCTTTCATATTAAAAAAGAATGAGGTAAAATTGTTTGGGTTTTTTTTGTGGCATTAGGATTTGAACTCAGGGCTTTGTACTTGCAAAGCAGGTGCCCTATCAGTTGAGCCATGCCTCCAGTTCATTTTGCTGTGGTTATTTTGGAGATGAGGTCTTAAGAACTACTTGCCCAGGTGGGCCTCAAACCGTGGTCCTCTGATCTCAGCCTCCCAAGTAGCTAGGATTACAGGTATGAGCCACCAGCACCCAGCAATTAATTAATTGTTTTTCAATAAAGAGAACAAAAACAGACTGTTATTTTTTAGTATTTGAAAGAATATGCTTTATGGAACGCTGGTTTATATCAATGCTTCTCAAACTATCCACAGTAAAAGAACAGTTAAGTATTTTTTTATAAGAGATAGTATACACTTCATAGCAATGTCAAAATTTGACAATTTCTAAACATTTACTCTGCATGAATGAACATTTACTCATGGGCTGCAGCAGTTTATAAATTAAATGAGCACTTTACATGCATCATTCTATTGGTATAGACCATTCCTTTGGCTCTTCATTCCCAACCCTGCTTTAGTTCATTTCATCTTGGCTACATCTGTCCTGCCTCTGAAATCTAATAATGGCCTGGTCCAGAGTGCTGCAGTCTCAGGTAGACCATAGGCTTTGCTCTTGAGACCATGTGTTCACAATAAGCCTTGGAAATGGGTGCCCATTGCCTAAGGAGAGATGGAAGAAGTGACAAACTAGGAATCTGGATCCCTATCATGCCAGTGCTGTCACAGCATCTCTTAAGACTAATCTTTAATAGAAAAAATATTCTCACCCTAAGCTGCCACTCCACCAAGTCAGTTCCTGTGATCATCTCGGTAACAGGATGTTCCACTTGTAGCCTTGTATTCATCTCCATGAAGTAGAAATTGTGCTTTGAGTCCATAATAAACTCCACAGTTCCTAAAAGATAAAGTACAATGGCCACATTTTCAATTTCAATCAGTAGCCAATCAAGCTCTTCCATGATGCAGAGCGTGGAGTTTTAGTGCTGAGTTCATTTAATGGTAAACATTTTGCATTTCATTTAAGAAAACATCTCACATTTGCAGCAGCAAATGAGTCTCAGTTTAAAATAGAGAGCTGCATGAAATTTAGCAATAGAAAAGTATATTTGGACTTGTGAGCAGATGGTAAGCCCAAATTATGAATCAGTTTCAGCTGCTGTAGTGGTGAGAACATGGTTGGACCATGCGTTACTGCCCCAGCACACCAAGGTCCCTAGGCAGCCTCACACCATGACATCCCATCACATCTGAACTCAGTGGAGAAAAACACAACATGTTTTTTCCTGATTGTGGCTCTTGGAAGTTTTCTTTAAAAGTCTTTTTGCTGGTGACACATTGAAAGACTAGTATCTAAGCCACATGCTAATGTCATGTCTATTGGCAGTCTATTAAGACCTGTGATATTTCCCCGTGCTTTTTCTTTGCTGGGGAGTGGAATTGAGGGCCTCATGTCCCCTTGCTTTGTTAAGTTTTTTTTTTTTTAAACAATGAACTTTAATTATTTTAAGTGTACATGTGTTGATTTTGTTAACTGAATACAACCAGTGTACCTGCCTTGCAAGAAATCTTAAAGTCTTCAGAGAGAAGGAGAATGATATAGGTCAGAAATTTGCATCTACATAAATAAAGGAAGAACATTGGAAAATGAATGGGTGAAGGTAAAAGAAAATATTAGTTTATTTTCTTATTCTTATCTGATTAGCAGACAATAGTTTATTCAAAATAATAGCAACAATGAATTTAATTATGTGTGCTTCCACACACACACACATATGTGTAAATGAAACAAATAACAGAAGGGACAAGGAGTCTGAGGCATTTTCTTATAGGTACTCGCACTTGTGAAGTGAAAGATACGCTGCTTTTTGAAAGTGTACTCAGTTGTAAATGCACACTGCAAATTCTAAGGCTACCAATGAGAAAACTAAAAAAAAGAAATGTAACTGATATGCTAAGAAGGAAAGAAAATGGGATCATATAAAATGCTCAGTTAAAACCACGAAAGGTAACGAAGCTGGAGACAAACCATGAAAAGCAAACAAAGAGTGGAAGATAGAAATAAGAACAAGGAGAACAAAAAACAGTTGCAAATATGACAGATATTATTTGAACAATATCAGCAATCATTTTATATATTGATGGTTTACACCAAATAAAAGAGATTGTGTGAAATCAAAATACAAGACCCAACTATATATTGTCTATAACAAACTCACTTTAAATATAAGTGTAAAAGAAGATATACCATGTTAACACTAAAGAAAGCAGGAACAGCTATATTGATTTCACACAGAGCCGACTTCAGAGCGGAGGGTGCAGAGCCAAAAAAGTCACGGAAGGAAGATTTGACTTGACAGAAAAGAAACTCTTGAGCTTTTTGTTAAGATGTTTTTGTTATACCTGTTTCTCTTTTTCTTTTTTGGGGGGATGCTATACTTATATACTTAATAATATTAATATACTTATTATTATTAAGGAATCCAATTACATGGCTGTTAAGAAATTCAGGCTCTTGAAGTTAACTATGCTCCACTCTGGATTTTCTGGTCACAGTCAGCGTTGATACTCCTCATTTGAAACCCTAGACTCATGAGGCCTCTCTCCCTGCCCTTCTATTTCTGGAAATGCCAAAGCAACTACGTAGGCGAACACTGCAGAGAAGACGATGACTTTGCCTTCCCTGAAGCTAAAACGAAGTTAAAACCTCCACATTGCTTTATGAGGAAGATAACAACCCCAAACCACAGACAGGTTGGGACCTGTGCAGCCTCAATTTTCTTTTTCTTTATCCTTTTAATATTAATTTTTAATTTTCTTTTCTTGTTCCTCCCTCTCTCTTTAAATTTACATACATTTTGGCAGTACTGGGGCTTGAACTCAGGACTTCATCCTTGCAAGGCATGTGCTGTACCACTTGAACCATGCCTCCAGTCCTTCCTTTAAAAAATTTTTATATGGATTTTTTCTCCTCTTCTTTCTCATTTTTCCCTCATTGTAATTTTCTTTGCTTTTTTTTTGATGGTAAAACCCTTGTGCTAGGGATAGAACTCTTGTGCATGCTAGGAAAGTATACTGCCACTGGATTACATCTCCAGCCCTCTCTCTACTTTTTTAATCTTTAATGTGATCTTCAACCTTTTTATTTTCTCTCTTATTTAACTCCTTTGAAAATTATTATATATATATTTTCCTTTTTACTATTTCTATTTTTAAATTTTTAATTCTTATTTATTTATGTCACTGTGAAAGCCTCTAATTTGTACAAGTAATATGCTTCAATAATTTATAATAATTTAAAAAAGAATATGACATCTGGTCTTAGAACACAGGGTACTAAATTAGAAACCAAAAACAGTAAGATAGCTATAAAATAAATTTCAAGATAAAATTTTAAATGTTTTAAACTAAATGAAAATGCAAATTCAAAAATTTATATTTTTAAAGCAAAAGCACTGCTTAGAGGGAAATTTAAAGCACTAAATTCACACATTAGAAAAAAGAAAAGACTTAAAATCATTAAGTCAACCTTCTAGAAAACTAGAAAAATAATAGCAAATTAAATCTGAAGTAAGCAAAATATAAACAAATGAAAATAGAAAAGCAGAAACCAATGAAGCTGAGAATATGAAATTAGTAGAGAAAATCAATTAAACCAAAATGGTTCTTCAAAAAAGAGCAATAAAATCAACAGCATCTAGCCATGCTAACTAAGGAAAAAAAGAGGACACAAATTATTAATGTCAGAAATGAAAGAGGAAAGCACTACAGATCCCATGAACACTAAAAGGATAATGTTTACATTATCTATTATAAGGATTTTTTAAATTTATTTTTTATTTTTGGTGCTGAGGATTGAACCCAGGTTCCTGCTAATGCTAAACACACACTCTACCACTAAGCTACACTCCCACATCTATAGGAATATTGTCAACAACCATATGCCCATGAATTCAAACTGATGCTTTTAAAAGACACACTCTGCCAAGGTTCAGACAAGAAACGATCTGAGCAGGCTATATCTACTAAAGAAATAGAACCAATAAATAATCTTCCAAAACAGAAAGTATCAGACCCAGGTGAGCTTATTGGTGAATTCTAACAAATGTTTAAAGAAAAAGAATTATACCAACTGTCCAGAATCTCTTCCAGAAGACAGAAGCAGACAGAACATTTCTTAACTCATCTCTATAGCTAGCATCACTTTAATACCCAAACAAGACAAAGACATTACAAAAAAAGAAAACTGAGGCTGGTTTTGGAATAGTTCAGTGGTAGAATGTGTGTTTTAGCACCATGCATGAGGGAGGCCCTGGGTTCAATACATAGACACACAAAAGAAAAATATACACCAACACTTATCATAAACATAGATGAAAAAAATCCTTTAAATAATTAGGAAATTGAATCAAAAAATGTATAAGAATAATTTTATAACTAAATGGGATGACTAAATGGGATTTATCCTAGGTAGGCAAGGTTGGCTCAACATTTGAAAATCAATTAATGTAATCCATCACATCAACAGGCTAAGAAACATCACATGATCATTTTGATAAGTCCAGAAAAAGCATTTGAAAAATTCAATACTCATTCATGAGAAAAACTCTCAACAAACCAGAAATAAAGCGGATGCTCCTCAACTTGATAAAGAGCATCTATAAAACCCTGCATCTAACACCATAATTAATAGTGAAAAACTAGAAGCTATTCTGCTAAGAACAGGAGCAAGGCAAGATGTTTTCTCTTACCACTCCTTTCCGATATTGAACAGGACGTTCTAAGAAGACAAGAACAGAAGCAAAATGAGCACAGACTGGAAAGGAAGAAATGTAAGTGCTTTTGCTTACAGATGACACAATTGTCTATGTAGAAAATTCAAACAAATACGATAAAAAGAAGCAAATAACAATTAAAGTTGCATGATCCAAGACAAATATACAAAAATCAATTTATTTCCTATCCAGTCATAAATGAACAAGTGGCATTTTTTTTTTTTGAGATAGGGTCTCACTATGTAGCCCAGACTGTCCAAATCCTAATCCTCCTGCCTCAACGTCTCAAGTGCTGGAATTACAGATGTGCACCACCATACCAGCTGACCAAGTAGAATTTAAGATTAAAAACACAATATCATTTATATTAGTACCCCTAAAATGAAATAGTTCTAATAAGATACATACAAGACTTATATAAACAAAACTACAAAATTCTGATGAGTGAAATACAAGAAGATAAATGGAGAAATACTCCATGTTCATGATAGGACTCAATAGTGTTAAGATGACAGTTTGTTCCAATTTGGTCTATAGATTCAGTGCACTCCAATTCAGAATCCCAGCAAGTTCTTTTGTGAATACTAACAAGGTGATTCTAAAGTTTATATGGAGAGGCAAAAGGCCCCAAATAGCCAACTCAATAATAAAGGAGAATAACAAAGCTGGAGGAATAACACAGGCCAACTTCAAGATTTATTATAAAGGCTACAATAATCAAAACAGTATGGTATTGCCAAAAGAACATATGAACAGATCAACAGTACAGAAAAGACAGCCAGAAAAGAAAGCCATATAAATATACTGAACTGATCTTTGACAAAGGAGCAAAGGCAATGTGATGGCATGAACAAAATCTTTTCAACAAATGGTTCTGGAACAACTGGAAAGTCACAGGAAAAAAAAAAGAATTTAGTACAGAACTTATACCTTTTTCAAAAATTAACTCAAAATGGATCATATGCCTAAATATAAAATGCAAAAACTACAAAACTCCTAGAAAATAATATAGGAGAATGCCTAAATAACCTTGAGTATGGTAATGACTTGAAGCATACAACACTAAACATGATACATGAAAGAACCAGTAAGTTAGACTTTATTAAAATTTTAAAAAAGTTTGCTCTATGAAAAACAGTATCAAGAGAATGAGATGACAAGCCTTGGACAGAAGGAGTGCTTGCAAAAGGCACATGTGATAGAGAACTGTTATTCAAAACTCCACAAAAAACCGGATTAAAAAATAGGTGAGAGATTCAAACAAACGCTTCATCATAAAAGATACACAGATGGAAAGTAAGTATATGAGATGTTTCAACATCACGTTTATTAGGGAAGTACAAACTAGAACAACAACAAAGGCTAAAGATACAGCTCAGTGATAGAGCTTGCCTAGTGTGCTTGAAGTCCTTAGTTATTATGCCCAGCACTGCTAAATTAAACAAACAAAAAAACCCAACAGACAAATAAATGAATAAAAAACAGTGAGATGCCAAATGGCCAAAACTGCCAAACAAATGCTGGAGAAGATCTGGAGCAATAGGAACTTTCATTATTAGTAGGAATGCAGAATGACACAGTCATTTGGGAAGACAGTTTGACAGTTTCTTTGAAAATAAACATACTTTTACCATCATGCTTTTTGGTATTTACTCAAATGAACTAAAAAATTATTTCCCCACAAAATCCAGCACATGGATGTTTATAGCAGCTTTATCCATAATTGTCCAAACTTGGAAGCAACTAAGATGTCACTTAGTAGATGTCAGTTAGAATGGATAATTAAACTCTGGTATGTGCAGACAATGCGGTACTACTTAGGACAAAAAAAAGAATTACCAAGCTGTGAAAAGACCTGAAGGAAAGTTAAATACATAATACTAAAGGGAAGAAACTAATCTGAAAAGGCTACATACTGTAAGATTCCAAAAAATTCTTGAAAAGGCAAAATCTGGAGGCAGTTGAGGATTAGTGGTTGCCAGTGTTTAGTAGGGAGGGAGGAATGAATAGGCAGAGCACTGAAACTCTTCTAATACCACAATGGTGGGTACATATCATTACACATCTATCAAAACTCATACAGCATACAACATCAGGAGTGAATCTTAATGTAAACTATGGACTTGGGTCTGATGGTTTGTCCATGTAGGTTCATCCATTATAACAGGTTAGTACTCTGGTTTGGGCTGTCCTTAGTGTTGGAGGTTTTGAGAGGAGTAGGGGTGACAGGAGGGATATGAGAACTCTGACTTTCTGTTCAATTTTGCTGTGAGGTTAAAACTGTTCTGAAGAGCTGGGAGGGCGGGTACCTCAGTGACACAGCACTTGGCTGGCATACATGAGACCTTGGCTTCAATCCTCAGCAACATAAAACTAACAAGAAACTGCTTTAAAAAATAAAGTGTATTTATTTTAAAAGAGTAAAACCCATCAACTTAGTAATTTTATTTTAAAATGGGATAGAAGATATCACACCTCATCATCATATCAATTAGGGTAAGTACTGATTAGTGAAATGTTTGTTTCAAATATATGTATATACAAGCACAATCACTTATGTATACATAATAGGTCTTAATAAAAAATGTGTTTCTTACTGTGGATATAGTCAAAAGCTTAAAAACCACTTATTTCAAAGATACACATTTCTCTTACCTTCTGAAAAAAAATTAGTCTCTGTATTGTTAGAATGAACTCTTAACATACCTGCTCCAACATAATTCACAGCTTTTGCAGCTCTGACTGCAGCTTCTCCAAGCTTTTTCCTTACTTCGGGCTTAATACCAGGCTATGAAAAAAAGATTTGTAATACATCTAGAAATTTCCATCGAAATGCAACATTACATTTTTACTTATCAAATAATTGCATCAAAAAGATTAGGATAAAAAGATAATGTTATATACTTCATCAAGAAATTCTGTTTTATGCCAGTTTAACTGTTAATAGGCCAAATTTTAGTGTCTATGAATTATAGATACTACTCACCATATTATATATCTTTAACCCTTCTATCTACATAACAACTTTTATAACTATTGGAAAAATGGTAAGTGTCAATATGAAAACTTTTGATGATTCCCATTTTGCTTTAAGATGATAGTCTAAAGTATGTACCTGGAGGTCACTGTTTGAAAGGCTACACTGAAATTATTGTTGACATGTACTTCTGCAAAAGAAGCTACATTTTGAACACAGTGTGGAGAATAACACACTGACTGATTAACTACAAGCCTCAGGACCCCTGATGCTTTAGAGACAGATTGAAAAAAACATGTATCTAACCCATGGCAGTAGTAGGTCTGAAAGAAATATAAATCCAAAAATAGTTCTGGTGTTGACCCAGATAACAACCTAACCCAATTAAGAGGAAGGCTCAAAGAGATGTAAACAATTAGGGTTAAGGGGCAAAAGTTGCCCAACAAGAGTGATTGCATTCCTCTATAACACAACCATAAGGCAGGAAGATGACTAATATATTTTAGTATAACATCTGAAAACAGTTGTTAAAACAAAAGTCTTCTTTCTAAAAAAAAATGCATGTCCAATTAACCAGACAATTCTGTTCCATTCCTGTAATCAATCCTAGTTAATTACAATTTTAAATGGGCACTAAAGACTCTTAGTCAGATACTTGGATCACAGTAGGTTTTCCCAGAAGGAACACAGCCCTGTTTTGTCTGGCCTTGGAACACCAACACCATCCTCATCCTCACCACTGCAATAAGGTTTTATGATTACATTACCATGGGGAAGCTGTTGTACAAAAGGACTTGGAGGGGAGGGAGAGACCAGCTTCACAGATTCTTATGTGAAAATAAGAGTGAACAAAGTTTATATTCAAGAGAATCTCAGAAAATTTCCTTTCAAGGTCCTTACCGCTGGGGCCTCCTCAATGATCTTCTGATGTCTCCTCTGCACGCTGCAGTCTCTTTCAAACAAGTACACGGCATTGCCATGGTGATCACCAAATACCTGGACTTCCACATGCCTATTTAAAAAGCAAACATGTGTTAATATACTTTGTTAAGAGCGATTAATATCACATTCATTAAGTCAAACTGTTGGTTCTGGTGACCAGAATTCCACCATTTTCATTTTCTTTAAATAGGACCTGATATTTTTACTTCAAAAGAGAAGCTATGGATTTAGAAACAGAACTATAATCTTGTAAAATCTCAGTGAAAATACTTTCATTTGTACAATCAACATTAGAGAGAAAAAATTATAGATATGAAACGATTGGCAAATAAGATTGAGAATATAGAAGACTCAAAACAGGTGAGTCATAAAAAGTACAAATTGTCAAGGAAAAGACTGGTAAATGTGACTGCATAAAAGTTATAAACTGTAGTCATTTTCATATAACCTCAAAAAGTCAATGATAACTTTATAAGCACTTTAAAAGAAACTGCTCTAGTCAGATTTTATCAACAATGGCACACTGCAATCAAGATGTCTCATCCACAAAAGGGCTAGGAAATAAATTAAGTGAAATAATAAATAAACAAATATAGGTCATTAGTATTTTAAGAATATACTAACATTAAATCATAGCAAACCCAAGAGGCATTTTAATATTGAGTATAAAATAACAAAATTATGAGAAATCATATTAAGAACGACTTTTATACATAACACTCATGAAAATAAGGCTAACAGACCATGTGGTGCACATGAAAGCATTCTTCTCTGCAGGTTTACCTTGCTGTGTTCTCACTGAAATTTACATATTCACCACCATAATAAGAAACAAGCGACCAGCAAATCTTTTTTTCTGATTTTTTTTTTGGAGTACTGGGGATTGAACTCAGGGCCTTGTACTTGCCAGGCAGGTGCTCTACCATCTGAGCCACACTCCCAATCCTTTTTGTTGATTTTTAAAACTAAAAACTGTCAAACACAAGAGAAATAAAGCCAGGAAGTCTTGTAAACGTACTGTGTTGGCATTAGTCATTTTGACTCATTTTTGTTTACTTCATGAAGCACTTCATTTATCCACTTTAAGGAATTTACTGTTTTCCTAGATCATCTTTTCTGAATGTTCCACTTTTGAATTTTCCAACACATCTAACACAGTCTTGACAAAAGACCTGGAGAGGACTTCTGTCTTTCTTGCTCTATGACCTTTCCCCTTTCCTCTCCACTTAATAGATCCAGAAGCTATAATCACCTAGTATACTGCTTCTCTATTACTTCTTTTTGTGGTGCTGGAATTAGAACCCAGGGCCCGGTGCATGTTAAGCATGTACTCTACCACTGTGCCACACCCCAGCCCTGTTACTATTATTATTTTAAACAAACTATTGCTTGTTAACAGAATTTAGAATAAGAAAAATAAGAGATTTTATTTCATCTTCATTTATTCCTTCTCTCATTCTGTACGTGCCAGAAACATCTGTTTCCTCTAGTGTCCTTGTTTCCTCTGGTGTCCTTGTTTCAGTTTTGTTTGTCCCTAATTGCCTTTGGGTTTCCTAAGAACTTCTCAAATGAGTCTGTGTTTTACGTTTCTTTGGTTGTAATCCACTTTTGTTTATATAGCAACTATAGTGACATGTGTCTTAATCTATTGTGGCTGTTATAGCAAAATGTATAGACATCAGAAATGTTTTTCTTAGAGTTCTAGAGGCTGGGAAGTCCAAAATCAAGGTGACCAGATTCAGAGTCTAGTGAGGACTTGTTCCCCATAGATGGAGACTTATTGCTGTGTCCTCAGGTGACAGAAGAAAGAAGGGACAAACAGCCTCGTACTAACTCCACTCAGGAGCTCAAAGGCTCCAAATCGTTAAAAAGATTTTTTTGCAGTGCTGGGGATTGAGCACATGTGGCAAGTGTTCTATCACTGAACTACATCCTTCACCTGGTTCCAGATCTTTTTTTTTTTTTTTTTGTGATGGTCCTGGGGTATGAACTCACACTTGCAAAGCAGGCCCTCAATCTCTTGAGCCACTCCTTCAGTTCAAGTCCCCAGAGCTTAATATTATCACTTATCACTTTGGGGGTTAAGTTTCAACATATGACTTTTGGAGAGCCACAAACTTTGAGAACATAGCAACAATGAAAGCAGTGTGCAGGGGAGGGAAAGAAGTTTACAATGTTATGACTAAATCAAAGTCTTTTTGTGGGCCTGTACTTGAGCTATGACCTTCAGAAGTGTTTCTGACCTTTTTTTGTTTTCTCCCCTTGGGTGAAAAAGGAATGCTACAGGGGGTTAAAGCTGCCTGTTTTTCTCCCAGGACTGAAAAGACTTGGCAACATTTCCCTTGGAGTTAGGGATTCTTTTGTTAGTGAGAATAAAATGCTCTGGGCCTATTTCAAAATAACTACTTTTCCCTTCCACTGGATTTTCACTGTGAGAACGTGGAAGTAAAACTCATGATAGTGGGGTATTCCCCTAAGACTGAGCCCCTAGGAGTTTCTCTGGGACCCAGCCTCCAGCTACTTGTCCAAACTCCCTTAAGTGTTAGGCTCCAGCAGCTGTTGCTTCAGGTAAGTTGATCTCAAGGGTGATTCGCCAAATTCATAGCCTTGTACAGATTTCACAGTGGTGATTTGCTCTGTGGCTTCGATTCTCTGATGGGTCTAAATGTCACTGTTTTTCATGTTTTTCAGCCTTTTTCTTGCTTTTTAGGTGTGCTGATGACTTCTAAGCTCTTTACATGTTAGAGTGGAAATGTCTTATTTGTCAAATTCCAGCTATAAAATTTTACCACTTCCATTGTCTCACCCCCATCTTTATGTGCTCTAGGGAAAGAAACATTACAGCAGGGACTGCAGGTGGTGAGGGAACTTGTGGGGCTATAGCAAGGACACACAGTCTTTTTCTGAGTCCTCAGAAGCTGGAAACACCTTTTCTTTGGCTACTTAATACATGGGGAAAGATTTAAGAAGAACTGGGTTCTCAGTCACAATTTTTGTTGGTCATCCAGTCTTATTTCCCTTTTTCTCACTGGCATTTTTCTGTGCTGCTTTATCTAACTTAGAGGCTCTGGAACAGTGTCTAGAAGTATGTAAGAACCAGGAGGTGCCTCAAATCCCAGTGGCTCCAACTCACCAAATACTGGAGTCTGGTTAGGGGGATAGATGTTGCTGGATTCTATGCCTAGATATTTTTCTATGAGCACTGAAATTTTTCCTATTTATATTTATAATCTACCTAGAATATGTATAGAATACAAATTAAGGAAGTAATCTATTTTTTCCCTCTAAAATAGTACAGTTGAATGATGGTTGCCAATCCCAGTCTTTCAGATAAATGTAATAGTTCTGATTGGATTTGTAAAACATCTTGATACCTACTTTTCTCAGTTGTTAGCACCACCATGACCATCTCTGGCACTTAATTAATTCAACAGGTAATTATTTAGTAGGACATAAAGTATATACAATATGATTCTGATATTCAAATGTTATTACTCAGAGTTACAGAATAGAAATGCTAAAAATATTAGGAGACTGAGATTATTTTTCATTGCCTATATTTTCCAAAAGTTTGCAAAAATGTATTTATACTGCTTCTGTATTTCAATAAATACTGATGACTATTATGAGGAAAGTAGTACAGAAAGTAATATGGGAACATAAGAAGACATATTCCATCAGGTCCTTCGTTCTCAGGAATTCCAAGCTATTGGGAGAATAAATTACAATGTGAACAATGCATAGCTAACATTCCATAAATAAAGAATTAATATCTTCAAAATAATGTTGCAGGAATTGAGTTATAGTCACTGAAATAGCCATCTGATGTTTCCACAGTACTAACTCAAGAGCACACTAATTTGGATGGTTAGCCTATTCTTTTTTTGAAAACTACTGCAGAAGGAAACTTTTAATTTACCTCAGAACCTGCTGCATTCTTGCCTTACTTCCCACTAACAGGTGGCATATGCTGTGCTCTCCTAATCAGTTCATCTGTTTTGAGATAGATTTAAAAAATTTTTTTACTATGAAACTATAAGTGAATTTCATTTACTGTGTCATGCTCAGGTGAAATTCCACATTTTTATAGGTCCTGAACAAAAACAACCTGGGATCCTCTTTAAGGAGAAGAATGCAAAATTACAAATACGCAATTAGGTAGAGAGTCTTAGAAGAGGCTCATGCAAGTAAGCAAAGGGCCTAAAGCTTCAAGCTCATTACCTGCAAGGCAAATCCATTCTGGCTATGGTTCCCAAATGAATTATTCTTTTCATCTGACTTACAGGACATACGTATTTTTAAAAATTGCCACAAAAATCTATGATACAGGAAACTTTACAATCAGTGTCTTGTTTTAAACAATAGGCATGGCAAATCTAGGAAAAAATTAGAAAGCTCCATAGTATTTACTATAGTGGTACCTAGAGAAGCAATTTAGTGCAATGCTTAAGAGTATGGACTGTGGAGTCAAACTCCATGGGTTCAAATCCCAGCTTTACTATTTCATAGCTAGGTGAGCACAGACAGTAACATGACCATTCTGTTGCTTAGTATTCTCACTTGCAAAATGAGAATAGTAGAACCTTCCTAATTGGATTGCAGTTAAAATTAGAAAGACAATAAGATGACTCAGTATATGGAAAATGCATAGAACTGGCACATGGAAGTGCAATGTAGGTGTTGGCTACTAGCATTAGTATTTATTATATCACTCATAAAACAACAAAAGTCACTTATAATTTAGTCTGGCTATTTATATTTTTCTATACCTCAACTGATGCCCTATAAATGTACTTTATTACAAGAATATTTTTATATTGTTAAAAAAAACCTACATCAATAAGAAACATTGGATGAATTAGTGGTCTATAAATATCATAGAAGCATTAAGCCACCAATAAAAAGAATGAGGTGAACCTATGCTCTCTGATATGGAAAGATGGCAATAATACAATATTAGCAGATAATAGAAGAGTCTATTCACTGTTCTTTTGTATGTATTTTGTTTCCTGTGTGTACATGCATATATGTTTTTCTTCCCACAATGCATACCATCCTATGATCAATAATGGACTTAGATGTATTAGAATTTTATATTTAAGACAATGTGCATGCATTACTTTCATAATCTAGGTTTTAAAGTCTGAGTCAGGGGAAACGCCCAGTCCACCTTGGCGTGTCCACAAACTTCTCGATCAGCATAGCATCATCATTGAAAGACTTCTTTGCTTCTCTCCGTGCTGATTCTAACTGCTCTTGAAATTCCTTCTCTGATGTGACAATCCTCATGCCCTAAGAGAGAAAGGACGGTCAGTACTACACCATAAACACGACAAAGGTGACAAGCCTGGGTGACAAAGGCCAGTTCCCATACGCTTACTTTCCCTCCTCCGCCGCGGACGGCCTTAATCATGACCGGGTAGCCGATTCTCCCCGCGTGCTCTCTCAGGCAATCGTCGGACTGGTCCTCGCCGTGGTAACCTTCCACAACCGGCACTCCAGCGCAGCCATGATGGACTTGGACATGCTTTAGAATAAAAACAGAAACAGCCCAAGTCTGTGACTTCTTCCATACAAGAGAAATACAAATACAGCCCAGTCTGTATTACAGACTGTATTACAATGCAACTCTTTAAGGAAAGCATCCCATGGGCAGAGAAAGGCTTGCATCTGAGACAGTATATATTAACATATATACTAAAATGTCATTTCATGTGGTAACTCATTCCACCTTTTTATTTCTAAAACTAATGAGTGTACTCATTAGGATCAATAATTAACTGAATATTTTCTGTAACTCAATGGAGTTTTCTTACATGACAGATAATATATAATTAAAATGTCAATTATAGGTAAGGAACAATTTCAAGTGGGCTTCATGTGGTTACACTGAAAAAGATATAAACTCCTACCTCTTTATACCCATGTCTCTAATTGCAGATGAAGGAGGACCTATAAAAATAATCCCTTCTTGTTTACAAAGCTCAGCAAATTCCATGTTTTCTGAAAGAAAGCCATATCCTGGATGGATAGCCTAGGGGTGAGAAGTAAAATGACACACTTACTGGTTAGTTCTCAGGTGTCATGGGTGGTACAGGTGAAGCTGTCTTCCTCCCTGCACTTGCCCATGGCACACATGGTCTCTAGCAAGTTCTGCTAATAAAGGGATGACTGGAACATGCACAATGAAGTTTTGAAGCCTTACCTGAATCAGAAGAACCTGTACTACTTCTCCTCTTCTCCTTCTCTTCTCTCTCTCTTTCTCTCTCTCTTTTTGTGGTGCTGGGGATAAACCCAGGGCCTTGCATATACTAGGCAAGCAATCTACTGGCCCCTAAATTTCTTCTTATTGTGGTAATGTATACATAACTTAAAACTTACCATGTTAACCACATTTAAGCATTCAGTGGCACTAGTCCATTCAAAATGCTGGGCAGCTGTCACCCCATCCATCTCCAGAATGTTTTTATCATTCCAAGTATAATTTCCATTCCCTCCTTCTCCCTAGTCCCTGGTAACCTGTATATTACTTTCTGCTTATGAATTTGCCTAGTCTAGGTACCTCATATAAAAGGGATTATATAACATTTGTCCCTCTGGGTCTGGTTTATTTCACTTAACATGTCTTCAAATTTCATCCATGTTATAGCATGTATCAGAATTTCATTCTTTCTTAAGGCTGAATAATATTTCACTGTGTGTATATTCCATTTTGTTTATCCATTCATCTGTTGATGGACATGTGAGTTACCTCTACCTTTTAGCCATTGTGAATAAAGCTGCTATGAACATTGGTGTACAAGTATCTGTTTGTGTCCCTACTATAAATTCTTTTACATATATACCTAGAAGTAGAATTACGGGATCAAATGATCACATGGCAATCTGTAGAAACATCTGCATTTTAATTTAAAATATCAAGAATATCACGGAGCAAAAGGCTTTAGGGTTGGAAGGGGATCTGTTTACTCTGTAAAACTGGCCTAGAATTGAACCCATAGTATTTAAAAGCCAGAAAGAGCCCAGGGGTACAATGATAGCTCATTCATCTTGACATCACTACCTGCCAATGTTATTTGTACAGAAAAAAAGCTGAGAGGCAGACAACAGGTCATGTACTAAAGCCTGTATATACTACAGTGAAAGAGGAACACCTCAGACTTTAGTCACTTATAATTTACACCGAATTTTAACAAATTTACTTATCTGCTTTACAGCAGAAATGAAGAAAAATCAGTAACCAAAGAACAGCAAGATTTTCAAAAGTAATAATTGATAGGAAACAGGGATGCAACAGAAGAAAGGAGCAAAGACAGAATAAACATGGATGCTTCAGTGAGAGAGAAGTAACTCACATCAGTAGCCCTGGGGGAACATTTGTTCCTCTAAAACAGTAAGAGTGAACTGTAATTCACTCTTGTGAATTCTTGTGAATGCAAAATGAAAAAAGCTTGGCTAACCCTTACTCAAAACAGTTAAGTTCAAAGAACATTTTAAAATTAAAGGTGTAAGCTTCAGATGCCTGAGAAACTCATATCAATAGAAAAACCCACATCCCAGTAACTACAAAAACCAAAATGCTAGCTATAGATAAAAATGCTGAGTAGTCACATTTACTTTGCTCTAGGGTTGGAGTTTCAGTTTAATTTTAGTAAAACATTTATGCTAGGCAAAGTCAAACAGGTCTACATCCTCAGGTGGTTTTTTTGTTTTGTTTTGGTTTTTTTTTTTGAAGTATGATTTACAATACATAACACACACCTATTTATAGATTGATGAATTTAGTAAATTCATACAACTGTGCAGCTTACAGTACAATCCAGTTTTAGAACACTTCCATCACTCGAAAATCTTCCCGTGTTCACACAGGCAGTCAGTCCTTGTTCTGGGATCCAAGCAATCACTGACCTGCTTTCTGTCTCTGTAGTTCTGCCTTTTAAAAATGCTGATATAAATGGGATCACAACATTCCTGGGGATATACCCAAAGGAATGTGACACAGGTTACTCCAGAGGCACTTGCACACCCATGTTTATTGCAGCACTATTCACAATAGCCATGTTATGGAAACAGCCAAGATGCCCCACTACTGACAAATGGATTAAGAAAATGTGGTATTTATACACAATGGAATTCTACTCAGCCATGAAGAAGAATGAAATCTTATCATTCGCAAGTAAATGGATGGAGCTGGAGAATATCATTCTGAGCGAGGTTAGCCAGGTTCAGAAGACCAAAAATCCTATGTTCTCCCTCATATGCGGACTTTAGATCTAGGGCAAATACAGCAATGTGATAGGTCTTGGGTCACATGATAAGGGAGAGCACACACAGGAAGTTTGGAGATAGGTAAGAAACCCAAAAACATGATGTCCTCAATGCAGAGGAACTAATACAGAAACTTTAAAGCGACAGAGGTCAATAGGAGAAGGGGATCAAGAACTACAGAAAGGGTCAGTTTGAGAAGAATCAACTTAGAATGCAACACATTTGTGCATGGAAGAAACGCTAGGAATCTCCCTGTATAGCTACCCTTATCTCAACTAGCAAAAATGCTTTGTCCTTCTTCTTATTGTTTATACTCTCTCTTCAACAAAATTAGAGATAAGGGCAGAACAGTTTCTGCCTGGAAGTGAGGGGGTAGGAGAGGAGAGGGAGGGGGTGGGGGAAGTGGGAGACGGTAGAGGGGTAGGGGGGAGAAATGGCCCAAAGATTGTATGCTCATATGAATAAACAAAAATAAATAAATAAATAAGTAAATGGGATCACATAGTACATAGTTTTATGTGGCTGGCTTCTTTAACACAGCATAATTTTTTGAGGTTCACTCATGTTGTTAAATGTGTCAGTAGCTTGTTTCTTTATATAACATAGATTCCATTGAATGACTATATTGCATTTTGTTTATCCATTCACTCAGATATTTTTCCAATTTGGGTTGTTATGAATAACAGCAATAAATATACAAATCTGTATGAACATACATTTTTCATTTCTCTTGGGTAAATATCTATGAATGCACCTGTTGGGTCATAACAGAATAATTACATGGTTAGTTTTTCAAGAAACAGCCAAATTGTTTTCTAAGCAGCTGGACTATTTTTCATTGCCACCAGCAACATATAATGGTTCTGACTTTTTCCACATTCCTGCCAACACATCGTTTTGGCATCTTTTGATTTTAGCTATTCTTGTGGATGTACAGTAGCATTACACTTTTTAAAACATCACCATAGAGATATAATTCATATACCATAAAATTCCCCCAATCCAATGATTTTGAATATATTCACAGATGAGCAATTATCACCATAATCTAAGACAGTGACTAAATTTTAATTATGTAAGTTTTTATCAAGTTAAAAAGAAAACCCAGGCTGTTTATTTTATTTTGTTTTTGATGGCATTGGGGATTGAGCTCAGGGCCTTGTGCTTGCTAGGCAGGTGCTCCACTACTTGAGCCCCCAGTCTACCCATGCCCTTTAATAGCTATTTGCAATATACTCCTGTGCTTCTGTCTCTATAGTTTTGCTAAATTGAGGACATTTCATACAAATGAATCATACAATACATGCAGTCTTTTGCAATGGGCTCCTTTCATTGAGCATGATATTTTCAAGTTTCCTTCATCTTTTAAATCATATACCAGTGCTTTATTTCTTTATATTGTCAGATAATATTCCATTGTATGGAAATACCACACTTTATCCATTAACAGATGGACATTTAGGTTGGTTCCACTTCTTGGCTATTAGGAGTTATGCTGCTATACATGTTTCTATTTCTTTTGGATATACACCTAAGAAGAAGAGTTACTGTTTCATATGCTAATTCTATGTTTAACCTTTTGAGGAATAGCAAACTGTTTTCCAAACTGGCTGTGCCAATTTACATTCCATAGGTAATGTATGAAGGTGCCAATTTCTGTACATCCTCACAACAACTGTTACCATCTTATTTATTTATTTACATAAATAAATAAAATGCTGATCAAACTCAGATTCTTGCTTGTGCCTGCTAGGCAATCACTCTAGCATTGAGCTATAACTCTAGTTCCTGTCTTTTTTCATTTATTTATTTATTTTTTGGGGGCAGTACTGAGGTTGAAACTCATGGCTTCATACTTACATGGCAGGCACTTTACTGCTAGAGTCATGTTTCCAGCCTTCCTGTCTTTTTTTCTTATAGCATCCTAATGAGTGTGAAGTGACATCTCATTGTGGTTTATTCCCCTAATGCCTAATGATGTTGAGAATCTTTTTTTTTTTTTTGAGTGTCTTTTAATGGGCTTGTTACATTTGCTAAAGTATTCAAATATTTTTCCTATTAAAAATTGGGTTGTTTATCTTATTGAGTTGTAAGTGGACAGTGCTTACAATTCATTTATTGAATACATGTTTTTCATATATTTTCTCCCAGGCTGTGGCTTGCCTTTTTTTTTTTTTTTAGCACTGCAGATTGAACCCAGGGTCTTGTGCTTATGCTCTGCTACTTGAACCACATCCCCATTCCTTCTGTTTTTTAGTTTGTTTTTGAGATAGGATCTTGTTAACTTTTCCTGGGCTGGCCTCAAACTTTCTCTCTCTCTCTTTTGGCAGTACTGGGGTTTGAACTCAGGGCTTCACTTTTACCCTTGCTAGGCAGGTACTCCACCATTTGAGCCATACCTCTAGTTCTATTTCTCTGTTCTTAATGGTCTCAGGGAACAGCAAAATTTGAAATATGGATGAAGTCCATTTCATCAATTTTTTCTTAAGTATGGACTGATGTAGTTCAAGTCCTGAAAGAAAATAACTGATATCAAAGACTTCTATATCTAGCAAATGTATCCTTTAAAACAGAAGGAGAAATAAAGACCTTCCATAATGAGCATAAGCTAAAGTAACTCATGACTACTAAGCCAGCATTACAAAAAATACTTAGAGGGATACTACACAAAGAAGAGGAAGAAAGCTATAGGTAATCACAAGAGCTTAGGAAAGAATAAATCTCACTAGAAGAAGAGATAAATAAGAATTAGGAAAGAATCAAACA